GTTCACTTCAACCTAGCACATAAGCACATTTGAACAATACTTTAAGGGAAGATTTTAATATTTGTTAAGGAAAGCAATACGAAGAGAATATAAATTAAAAATTATATATGAATCGAAGCATTAAATATTGAATCGTCTTTTTCCAAATGTCGTCCACTTGATAAATGGATTAAGGCCGACTTAGATTTTTGACTATTATTGTAAAATATCATTGCGTACTCACAATAGAATATAGAAAAGTAGAGAAGAGCAAAGGAAACAAGAAATTATATTCGCCTTAAAGAAGACAAGTTATCAAGTACATACTCAGGCTATATAAGCATTAGCATTCCATCAGCAAGCATATAGCAGCGATATGAATCTATATCTCATAAATCTCATGTGATAGGCTGGTTAGTTAGTGAAGCGCGAAAAAAAACTTTAGAGCGCGCACAATGCTCCCTAAAATAGGCTGATCAATGTATAAAAAATGTTAGAATTACTGCAAAAACAAAAACAATATATAGAAGTACTCGAATTTTCAGATCATCATTAATTGTGTCCGAATGTATATAAATACCTATATATATAATCAATATGAAAAAAAGTCAAATAGAATATCTGGGGAGGATTTTGATTTTTTTCCTTCAGCAACGCGAATGTCATACAATCGTTATAGTAAAAAAATTAAATGAAGAAGCGAAAATATTTTTACTTTTGTTTTATATACAAGAATAAGTTAATTTAAAAGTACACACGATTGTGAATACCCTTAGTGGGTAAATTGCTTAAAGGTACCGCGACAGGTAAATAAACTTTAAAAATAAAATTTTGTATTTATTTAAAGCATATTAATTGATTAACTGGATATGTATATATAGATTTACTAGATTTTTATTGAATTTAAGTGAGTAAAGAAAACAAAAAACAAAAACAAAAAAATAAAATATTTCAACGACTTACAAGGTTATTGTTGTAGAGTGCACTTAATAGGCGAACAAATGAGATATCTATCTATTCCTTAAGCGAAGAAATGCGTAGTCATGTTATTCAATAATTTTTAACTATTTTGCCGATCGTCATTTTCGTCTGATAATTATTTATCTAATATTTTTCATACAAAGTCGTGCATATAAATAAGAAGTCTTTAAGGTACACTATCATCAGTTTTTTTGTGCAACAGTTTCAGTTAACTTCTTCTTCGTCAAAGATGGTAATATTTGAAAAAGCATATTATATTTTTTAAACTTAAATTTATTTATTTTAATAATAATAATTAAGTTATTTTGTAGAAAGTATTTATAATCATTTTCAGTGCAGTTGCTGCTGTTACTACCGTAACCTCAGCTAAGTATTTGAAGAGTGACAGATCGGAACATTTGCCTGAAATAACAAAAATTGCCAACGATCGAGATGCTACCGTTGCTGATCATAAAATTGGCAATAATTTTAATGTACAACGCAAGCGAGATGTGAAACATTTGAATATTACTTATTTGCCGCCACAAACAGCAGATATCCTTCCATCGTCCTTCATCGACGCAAAGGAGATTAGGCCACCATTTGACGATATGACGAAACAATTTGGAAAGCTTTCACATTCCGATTTAACAACAGAAGTGCCCGCCGCTAGCGAACAGAAAACGGAAATATTATTGAAATCCGACGAAACTTTCTTTGCTGACATTTTCCAGAATACCGCTGTCTTAGCTGACGATGGCTATCATTACAAAAAGCCTTCAGAAACGAAACAAAAATTATCTCTCGAAAAGAATACGAATGCTGAAGTTGCACATTTGCCTGCCGCTAGTGAAGTTAATGTCGATGCACGTGAAATCGAGAAAGATTCAAGCGTAACGGATAACCATTCCTTAAGCAGTCGCCTATAAGTGAAAACAATTCAAACACTAATATTAACCATTAAGATGGGTTTTATGAAAATACTTTTAGTAAATGTTTTTGTTTTTTGTTCATTTCTTACTTATAAATAATCAATAATCATATGGGGTTAAAAGCAATTAAAAATAAAATTTGTATTCATCTACTCTCGGAGAAAGTCTGTTTGACTTCTAAATAAAATTTGTTTTACGCCTCTGTTCATTCAGGCATAATGATAGACTAAAAGGTAAATAGTTTGCGGAGAATTTTGATGATCTTGCCATCTCTAGTCGTATTAGCTAACGTTGACAGTAGATAACGCAGTTGATCGTCCGACCAGATAAGAACATTACGTTATATGATATGGCTTGTGCAGTTTTATACATCTTGGGTCGTAACTTTTTCGCACATTGTTATGATCTGCGTTTCATTGGTTGTTAACAATCGTTTTAAAAATGATTCGATTTTGTTTCGTGCTCAAAGCAATTCGCAGATGGAAGTGGATTTATTGGAGTTTCTACTGTTAAATCATATGTTAGCCATATATCGGACATTGGTTTTTTATATCCACCCAATAAACTGCCTTTTTTTCAATCCTTAGTAGCCGTGTCAATGAGACGTGTCGATCTTTTTCATTCATTTCGGATACTTTAAGCCAATTTATCGACGACGAGTCGACCAACAAGCGGAGTTACACCACATATATATATATACATACATGCAAATGTGTACTTAAAGACCAATTTTATTTTATATATATATGTATATGATGCAGTGAACCTCTTTTACTCAGCTCAGTAAATTATCTGTTGTTGATTTACTGACGTACAGAAGGCGGAAATTTTTTGCAAAAATTGGGGCGAATAATAATCAAAGTCAATCTAATGTTTATGTAAAATCAGTTGATTGTTTACTTGATTTTTGAAGGACTTGGAAGAAGTTGTCGGCTGGCGGACAAGAGAAGCGTCATTTCATACTTGAGGCCGCTAGCAGAAATTGTAATTATCTACCCGATATTCTATGCAGTCTTCACGATTTCGATGAATATTATAAGAGAATGGGATGTTTATTGCTGATGTACTGTTTATGAACCAACATTACCGTTCTTCATAGTGTTGTTTGTTCCATATCGTACGACACGCACTACGCTTCTCATTTCTCTAGGTGGTATATATGTCATGAGATGGTTTATTTTTTCCTTTGCAATGTCCGTCGTTCATCTTGGTAGTTCGGGTAAGTACATGTTCACCACCGTCGATGCAATTGCAAAAGCTCTTCCTTGATCCTATGCAAGTACGCTCGGAAGCCACCACGATCGCTTATTAATTCGGTTATATGGAAATTATTATTTTTATTATTATTATTATTATAATTTTAGACTAATGAAATAAATTCTTGGAACAAAAAAAAAAAGACATTGAGCACTAGCAGCACAGGCTATCAGCTCTAATATAAATAAATGTACATTAGATAATGAGTTTAGTAGTGTTAATAAAGTAATATATATAGAATTGATATTCGGTTCTGAAGTTGATTTTAGAATATCCAAAGAGTTAATCGTTCCAAATGCAATACTTCTAGCCAAGGAAAAGTTAAGGCAGTCGCAGAGAATGTGCTTTATAGTGAGAGTTTGTCCACAACTGCAGATTGGGAAGGAAGACTTCTTCAAGATCGATTGGCCAAGGCGAATTCTCGAAAATGTTTGGACCTTGGCTTTCTCAACGTTTGTTGGATATAAAGGTGGAGTTAATTGAGTGTTGATGATGGTATTGTAAATTTGCTTCTGCAATTTTCTCTTTAACTTTTCTTCCAATGTATCTTTGAAGATCCAACTTTTCCATGACATCATCCTCTATAGAAATTAACTTGACTATGTTCGGTATTCAGCTCAGCATTTATTACAAATCGATGCGCTTATCCCCTTTTTGTTGATTTGCTCCAGCAGTCTTGAGATTATTTTACCAGGCGGGGTTTTACCAGTCATATGGATATCGTGTAGATAGGCTTCGAAAAGCATTCCTTGCGTACCGTATGGCGATTGCTATTGTGTCAGTATATCCGGCTACGATGCGATATGGGGCGTACAGTTGATATGCTGGCTAGATGGCTGATGACAGTTTGAGTGAATTCGACCAAATAACGGTGTGACATGGTGCAATGCGGCTTTGCCGAGTGCCCGGTAATAGTCGGGCTACAATCTTTCTTACATCAGTTACCCGCTCGTAGGTGCAACGCAGGTGCCCTTTAAATGACATTCTCCAGTCGATCATTATTTTCAGGTATTTTATCACCTCTTATGAAACTATATTATTATTATCCGCTATTGATGGATATGATCTTTTACCAATTCCTTCCTTGACATCATTAGTACAGCTTCTGGATTCTCTTCTGCCAATTTTACGTCAACTGGCTGCAGCCAGACTTTTTGACGGTGAGAGGGGAAATATCAGAACGTTTTCATGTGTAGAGATGGTTGGGACTTGTTACGTTTTACACACGAATACAATTTTATAGTTATACACTAGTGCCTAATCTGCAAAATAATTTTTTTACTTCATTCGGTTATGAAGTTTTTGAGTTTTTATGTTTTATTGCATAACGTTATTGCATTAAATATTGTTTAAAAAAAGATAATGTAGGAAAATGGGGAAAGTTTGAAAATCATAAAATAGTAAAACCAGAAATTTATGTTGTGTTTTATTTTGATTTTAATTTATGGTTGAATTTAGAAATTTTCTGGCTGTGCTTCTTCATGTTTATTGATAAAAAAACTTTATGAAGTTTCATTTCAACAATATGTTATGAGATGATTAATTGAAAGTACTTTGATTAAAAGAATTATTCAACCAAGGAATTCTTTATGCCACTCATTAGGTGAAGCTACTTACGTATACCGAACCTTGGACACTCTTCCCTTCAAACCAAAGTAATCTTTAGTTGAATAAACTTTTTAAAAGCCCAAAGATCGTATGGGACATAGGGATTTTCATTAAGTGATTGGGATATTGCGATGGCGTTGTGTTTTTAACATCAACAAACAGAACCTAACAATTTTTCACATTTCTTTTAAGGGTAAATGGCTAGAGATAGGTAGACGGTAACTGTTACTATTGGATGCCATGGCAGGGATAATGTCGCTCATCACAATCTCAATTGTTGTGATCACAATAATATGTATCACTAACATGGCATGAGAGTTGTTCCGTTTTAGTTCTAGTGACCATACTGCCGATAAAGGTGATTTAGTGATCTGTGCTTTTTGACTTGTCTGACGATTTGAGACGTGTCAATGGTGGCGAAAGCAAAAAATAAAGTGTTCTTGCAAAAAGTTATTGATTAATCGTTCACATTCGCTTAAGATTAGAAATGACCCAATGATGGAATTCAAATTGTCATACCAATTAGAAAGCTATGTACCGTTTAGTATTTTTCCTTTCTTTCTCTAGTGCTTCAATTCTCTTAGCTTCAATGCGATGTCTTGTGGCATCTCGGTAAATGTTTTTTATCTGATGTTCTAGGTTGCGTTCTTTAGCTAGTCGAAATGCCTGTCTCTTGGCGTTGCAAGTGAAATGACAATGTTAGTATGACTTTGCAGTCGCAAGTGCATAAAATTCTTTTCTTCTATAAATAAAGAAATCTCTTCTTACACGCAATATATAATATAATATATAATCACAAAGGATGCTACATGAAAATTTAAGGATTGATATAAGTACACTTGCATAAATACCATGGCAACAAGTGCATGCATGAATATACGAACAACTAATTAATTATATTAAATTACTGGTAAGATCTGAAAGTATTTTGAATGAACCGAATGACACGTGAAGAAAAGAAGAGGAAATCATTGAAATCCTTTGGAGCGATAATTTAATATCTGAGCAAAAGTTAAAGTTTGTACTAAAGTTTTCGCTAAAGTAAGTGAAGTGATTATCATCGTTTAAATTCTGTAGTCGACGCCAGATTTGAATATGCTTAGATTGGAGCTAAATAACAGTTATGTGTTTAGGGTTTGGAGATCGAATATTTACAATATAAGAACTAACGGTTTTGACCGGTTTCTACCGGAGTGTTATCCAAAGCAAAGGTGTCTATCTACAAACTGCTTGAATTTCATCCATATTTTCTAATTCATTTTAGAATCAGTAGTAACTATAACCAACGAGAAAAAATAACGCTTCAAATTCAGTTGAGGTGCTTAGTCCAGGCACTGGTCATATGATCGTAATTGCAATTCGAAGCTGAGAAAGATTAGCTAGAATGATATTTTCACGAAACAAATGAGAACCCTAAACCACTCTAACGACGTTTGAAATTTGAGATGTTATATGAGACATGGTCGCAAAGCCACGATAAAACATACCAGTAAAAGGAATTACATCAATATATCTCAAGAATTGTGGCCTGTAGGTAGAGAAAAAAGAGGATACAGAACGGACAGGAGGGCACGCAAATTTAAATCGATTTAGAAAATTAATTCCGAATAAGGAAATTATTCTGAATTCTAAAAGGTGAATCTATTTCAAGTCATTCCGAATGTTGCATACATCGGCACACACATAATATACCCTTATATCATAAGTGATGTAGGGTGCCGATATATAATATATTAAAATGCATATACAAAGGACGTTCGCATTGTAGAATACATTATTTACCGGCAAATTTTCAAACACCTGTTTGACGCGGAACGAAACTTAACGAAAGCCGTAAATAATGAGCTTTAAAAAATTGCCCGAGAGACAGAGAGCAAAAGTTAGTGATTGGAGAAATTAGCCAGGAAAGCTTTCAATGATGAAAAAAGCTCAAAAGCGCTAATTGTACAAAATTTAATACAACTGAATGTCTCGTCAGTTGGATATGTCGACTAAAATGTTTACTTAAAAAAATTTCAATTCACTTCAGGGATCTCCCGTATTTAGATTTATGCGCTCAAAGAAAGTAACTTCACAATTTCCGCTATTTTCAGCTTTATGAATTTTTCATTTGAAGAAGAAGAAAGTAAAAGAAAAATAAGTTGAATA